TTATTAAAAAAAAGCCAATGTTCCCACAAAAAAAAGTGAACGCACTGCCCCAAAGATGGCAGATTGACAACTTTGACTTTAGTTAGTTTTTTGGTCACTGAGAATCAGCATTTGGCTTAATTTCCTCATAGTTGGTCTTTTATTAAAGCTGAATAGTCATAGAATAATAAAACATGAAGAAATATTAAAAAATAATTGGCTTAGGCTATGAAAAACACCAGTAAAGTCAATTTTTTTAACAAAAAAATTTTCAAGTTACAAATCAAGCATCGTTTGTAATTAAACGGCCTACAATAACGCAAAATGTGCTGAAATAAAACATCTCGAGAATATATTTCTCTTTCTAAAACGCTGATTATTTTTTAAAATATTTTAAGCAGTTCCGTAGAAAATGAACTTATGCGGCAGAAAAGCGGTACTGGCGTGGGTGCCTACAGGCCTCTACCACAACATTCAGTACACATAAATGGCTTAGTTGTAGTGATATAATAACATTTTTGGTACATTATATTGGTTTTATTAACGAACAAATATTAATGCAATAATTTAATTGTAAAAAAAATTTTTTAGATTTTATTATAATTTCTTTAAAATTTAACCTCCTTTATTCTATACGTAGGTCGTTTAAGAATAACTAAATTGTAAAAATTATATAATTATAATAATAAAACTTAATTAAAAAATACTTTGCTAAATATCTTGATTTTTTTTTCATTTAACATTTGCAATTTAACACTGTGTTTGGTATAATTACTGATTCTTAGAGGTAATTAAAATTTTTATATACTTCCCAGGAAATGAGTCATATTAATACCTGTTTTGTAAACTAAAATAATATATACCTAATCTTAACTATATATAAGGAATAGCTACCGGGTTATTTAGTAAAACTCATATATCACTAATTAAAAAATTAATTTTTATTTCCTTTATTTTGTGCGGAAGTTGGACTATATCATAAATAAATAGGAAATTTTAATATTGAATGAATTATTCTCTCTGCACAAAGAAAGATGCTAAATGAATGTATGGTAGACAGATGAACAGAATATTTCAAGATGCTGCTAAAAGGGGGTCAATTGCAGTTCGGATATTAATTGGACGATGTAGGTTTATTATGGTGAAAACCACTTTATTTTTTATTGCTGAAGGAGCACATCGGGACTATCTACACTTGGAAGCAGGATATAGAGAGGTATATCAAGAACGTTATAGCTCATAGCTATCCTTCAGTTAAGTGCATTTGCAAAATATTTTTTATTTCATTCAATATTTTTCTAACCATCGGTAGATTACCGATTTTGTTCGCAGCAAGTGACCTACATTAAATTAATTGGTGCTCAGTATACGCAAAATTTGATGTTCTATAACTTTGATTCTATGGGTTTTTCCTCTTAGGGAACTCATTTCCAAGTTACAGGGCCATTTATAGTAATTTGTCTCTGTTTTTGACAAATTTAGCAAAACTCAGCGTTGGTTGACCGTGGTTTTATACCTTACCATGTTAACAAATTTTAAAGTTTATGTACTCGTTTGACACAAAATTAAATGTTCTTCAATTTACTAAAGAATGCATTTTTCGCTTTGATGCATTGTTTAGAAGTTATAGGTGAAAAACTAAAAAAATAACGAAAAAATCTGACTTTTTTGGCTGTAAAAAGTTTTCCCTTGGTGGCCCGCATTAGCAATTTTTGTTTTTTACATGTCTAAACCCATATATAAAAGTTAAAAAAATAAAAACTTTTCTCACATTTTTCACACTGGATTTCCCGTTTGGCCTAATATTCTTTAAATCAGCCGCCATTTTTGAAAGCAGTGGCTCTGGAACGGCAGACAAAGTTCTTTTTACTCAGCATAACATACACTTTAGTAATTTACAATCAAACCTTCGCCTGCGATCAGGTCGATTTTTGGACCCTGGCTCCAGGGCTATGATTCTCAGTGACCAAAAAACTAACTAAAGTCAAAGTCCTCAATCCGCCATCTTTGGACACCATTTTGGGGCAGTGCGTTCACTTTTTTTTGTGGAAACATTGGCTTTTTTTAAATAAATAGTTACAAGGAATACAACGATATGCAATTTATAGGGATGTGGGGGGGAGGGGGGGAGTGCACGGTAAGGGGGTCTGGCCCACCGTGTATAAAGAATTCAACAGAAATCTTACAATTTGAAAAAATTACGAATCTAATAGAGGACATGCTGAATCTGAATGTCCAAAAAACAATGACTACCCATCTACTCACGACAAAATCGGTTCTTCTATGCCAGGGCCGTTATTGACAGTGACAGGTGGATAGATATAGGTTATATAACAATATAAATATGAAGATGGTCCAGTCGTCTATAGCAATTATACATTATAACAATGAAATTTATCAGGTCTCTTAAGGTCGTTATATTAATCCACTTTGTATTAATTCCAATTAAAAAAGAATATTTTTCGAATTAAAAAAATTCCCTGACTTCAGCAATTTTCCCCTGACTTTTCCCGGTTTTGAAAATTCACTGGCTTTTCCAGGTTGGTCGCCACCCTGACTTAACTAATATGAAAAATGGAGAGGTGGAAAAATAACGTAATGTCAATTTTATTGATTTCTGTCCACTAATTTCTCTTATAAATGCGCAAACGTGTTTTCCTTGATATGTCTACATCCCTAAACCGCATGTTCGATTTGGCTCAAATTTGGAGGGAAGTTAGGGATTGGTAAACAGATAATTGAGTAGGTATGAATTTTATCAAATTCCATCCACTACTCCTAAAAAAATACTGCTTATGGATCAGAAAAAGTATTATTTGAAAAGCCTTTAGTTTGAAAACTGCGTGTTCAATTTGACCCAAACTTGGAAGAATTTTGGAGAATAGTGTAGAAATTACCTAGTATGAATTTCATTGAATTCTATTTAATAATTAAAATTAATATAAACAATTGTTAGCAATATAATGGCAGTGAAATGTGAAAGGCACTGATTATATGGAGTGGAAGTCAGATTAAGACAATATTTTTATGGAGTTAAAATTTTTTTAGATTTTATTCAAAGAGTTAGTTTATACTGTATTGTTTTGTCAATTCCAAACATTACTGGCATGATACTTCCTGCCGTTATTTAGATTTCATATAATTTTCAATAAATTTAAATTAATTTTTTCTCTGAGTTTGTAAAGAACATAATCTTATTTGTGATTGTGTTTATTCCTATTGAAGTTCAACTAGCTCGTCATGGTATCGAGTTTCTGTGTGATTTTCACATATATTTTTAAATTCCAGCTTAAATAGTTTTGTTCTGACTGAAGAAAAGTACTGGTCTCGTTAACTCTGAAAAAACAAAAAGTTTAGTTTTTCTTATGGATGTTTTGTACCATCCATTTTTGGAGTGAAAACATGCCGATTAAATGCATATTACTACTAGTGCAAAATGTCATATGCAAACATTTTCAACTTTTAATTCTATTTGTGCCAAAGGTGACATTTTGTATTCTGCAACTAATATAAGCATTCTACGATGAAAAATAGCAGAGGGCAATAAATTATGAAATTATATTAATAATTCCTAAAGAAACAATTAGTTTTTGTGATTTCCTGTAAAACACTCAATGTTTACGTACGACCTTTTTCACTAACAGTATTGATATTCATGTTCAGTACGCACTGGATTTTTTAAAAAAATCCCGAATCAGCAAATATGCAATCTACTTATGCAGATCTTTTTCGCATTTTAGTATGATGAACAAAACTCGTGGATATCAAACACGTATATGTTGAGGGTTTACTGAATTTCCGAAAGCGGCTTCTTTCAGAGATTTTATTCTCACGCGAAAAATTTATTCTCATGCAAACGATGAGGAAGCTAAACTGACCTCACTTGGCAGACATTTTTTTATTTGTTTAATTACCCTTGTATATACAAATTTTAATTTATACACATCGCTGTAATCTATACAATTAAATATTAAATAATACCAATGATAGAATTTATGAAAACCGCCTATGTATATGTACATAATATAGTTAGAGTCCGCATTATAATAATCTCATGTAACGTATGGAAGCCTGTTCTAATATTTTGGGAGAGCTCGTATTTCTTTGGTTCCTCCATTACAACTATTATCCGCTACAATCTCTTATTTCTCATTTAGTTAATTATCAAATTCTTTCATATTTTATATTTATCTATTTTTTACACCAAAGATTAATGTGAAATGGTTAATTATCTTAAAGAAAAACAATTAAAGGAACTTTAGAGGAAGCTAATATTGAAATTAGCCATTTAAACCCTTAAAACTGCTTAATTTTACATTTATGTAACGAATTTAATCAAAATCGTTAGCTGTTTTTGAAAAAATCGTAAAAATGTGGTATGTAAAAGTCGATGATATTAAGTACCACATCCGGTTTGTCTAATTTCAAGATAATGTAATGTTGCTGTAACATCTTAGGCTTATAAAAACCTCAACTATGCAATTTCAGTTCCGTACGACTGTTTTTGAGCTAGGCTATTCACACACGCACAAAGAAAAAGTATAAAATATTTATTCATGCCTGTAGCAAAACCCAAACTAATATATATCAACCAATAATATCCATTGGTCAATATCTTAAGATAATTAACAATATGTCAGTTTCTTCACTTAATAATGCAAGATATACTTATATATTAATTACAATGAATAATTATATATATATATATATATATATATATATATATATATATATATATATATATATATAGAGAGAGAGAGAGAGAGAGAGAGAGAGAGAATAAACCAAAACACTATATCTAGGAACAAATATAATTTATGCAATTACCTGTAGCAAATGCAAAACTAAATATATACATCAACCAATAATATAAATTGGTCAATATCTTGAAATAATTAACAATATGTCATTTTCTTCTTTAAATAATGCAAGATATGCTTATATATAATTTACAATGTATAAATACAGTAAGATTTTTGTTTTCCTTTTATATTACCAGTGCTATATTCATGATTGCTTACCTGATTGTGAGACGATACACTTGCATATAAGTAGAGTATTGTGAATAAAACGCCGACAATATTCATCTGAAAAATAATACAAAGAATTAATATTTATAATGTTTATTCTGAAAAATAATGTATTATTAAAATTATATTTAGAGAAATAAACAGTTTTGCCAATTAGTTTGGAAAAACAATTATTATTTACAATCAAAAGCATTAAAAGGTATTAGTTTTGAAACAAAATGAAGCCTTAATAGTAAGTACAAATCAGATCCAATTATTATTGATTTTATTTATGGAAATATTATTTTAACATAAACGTGGATACTTTTATCCATACATTTAAATCAGTTAAGTAAATTATGTATATATTACTCTAAAAATTATTATTTGGCCATGCTAGAAACAAACAAATAATAAAACAATTAAGACAGTCAATATTCAGTGATAAACCTTTTTAAAGAATCATATCAGTCTCAATTACTGAGCATAAAAAATCAAATTAAAAATACAAAAATATTTAAAAGCTGAGGGACCAAACCGAAATAAAATTCAATTTTTAAAAATCCATATTTTATTATACTATTCAAATTTTTGAAAGAAATTTATAACTAAAAATTAATAAGAACTTCCAATTAATCTACATTATCTATTCAATATTAATCTACATTAAAAAAAAAAGAATGTATAAAACATAAGACTTCTGTCAGAGATAATAACTACTACTTCTATTATAAGAATAATCAACAACAAAATGTTAACTAAAAGTAATACCTTAGCAGAATATATAATTTACAAAACATAAGGTACTAATCTATCAGGTAATTAAAAAGAATATTGAGCCTCCGTTATCAAAAGCAAAATACTCCTTGAATTACAACTACTCGGAGGTCAATGCAGCCTTCTCAAATGCTTATGCAAAGAGCTGTGGCCCGACAACGAAGTACATTAACAGTAAAATGAAAAGATAACACGTAGTGGTCATGTTTACTTGATTGTCAGTTATGGATTAACTATTATACAATGTTCATTTAAAAAAAAAATTCTACTAATTCATAAGCAATTTTATTACAGAAATTGAAAAATAGGATTATATATGTAAGTATTGAAATTATTAATGAAATATCTGAATATCTCCTATGTCCACCCACCCAACTTTCCTTACCGCTTTGGGAACAAAGTCCAATAAAAAAACTCTTTGCTGTGTCCTTGCTATTCTTAAAAAATCGAAAAAAATGGTATATTTGTAGAAGAGATAATCGTGGTTAAGATAAGCATACCAAATGCCAACATTTTTTTTTTTGGAATTAGGAGGTTATGAAATGTAAAGATGGGTTGAATAATAGACACCAAAAATTTGTATTGAATACATAGTTACCTTCTTTTCGTAGCGGTAAAGAATGTTAAAAGTTGTATATAGTAGTCTAAAATTCATTGATTTTCTTAAAAAAAAAAAAAATGTAATTAAAATAACAAAGTATTTCATAGCTGGTAAATTTGTTTAACTTTTTGATTGAAATCTCATAAAATCTAAGTATAAGAGATCAAGAGGCGTCTTTGTTTTGTCAAAATTCCACTGCGATTTGTTGAATTGCTGAATCTATATTGACGATAATCTTTATTGCGCGCGTCCTGTGCTTCTGTCAACAACCAAATCGGTAATACTATAGCTGAAATAATGTTGCTTCCGTACCAAAGAACCTTGTGCTCATCATTAGACATGTACCTTTTATATAAACTTACGAATAGTCCGACAGTTTCCTTAAACTAAGTTTAAAATTTTAATGGATCTACAGTAGCAAATCTGTTAATTATATCAACGTTAACTACCTAAGTATTGAATAAGTACTTCACTCACTTCGGTGATGTTATCTGTTGTATCTGGGTTCAGAAATAATGGTCGTAAGGTATTTTCATTATAGTACCATTATCTTGCTACACTAGGTCAATACTTAAACTTACCGTTGTTCTAAAAGTTTTCTTCTTTCCTGTCTTCTATGACTTTTCTGGTGCCCGTCATTATTCTCTACCCATGAAAACGTAATCTGTAATTTTCAAAGCACATTTCATAAATTTGATTCTTACATGTGCATTGTAAATAACCTGTTAAAAGTTAATTTTAAATAACTTGTTTTTGGCGGGAATTGGCGTATAGCCTTCCGTTTTTATCGGGGAACTAGGTTATTTACGCTCGTGAATTTTAAAACAAAACCCCGGCACTGGATATAGACTTTTTGAGAGTGTTTAACTGTTGTTGGGAATTCGGGAATCTAATACTTTTTGTGACACTGAGTGAGAAGAAACAATAAGAATATATATATATATATATATATATAATATATATATATATATATATATATATATATATATATATATATATCACTTTTTTACCACCACTATCCAACAAGCAATCTGGTCTGCTTCCTCTGCAAACCACTTCTCAAGAACTCCCAAGAAAAATAAGTTACCTCAACACCTCACAGACCTAATCCATACCAAACGCCGAGCCAGATTATTATGGCAACACTATAATACATCCCAACGATCGTCAATCCTATAATTATTTTTGCAAAAAAATTAAAGCTAGAATTGGCCACCTTCAGATGGCCTTCAGATGGTGGTCGAAACTCGACCATAATCATTAAAAATTTGAGGGAATCAAATGATCAAATAAAAAATCAATTCAATTGTCTCAGAAAATGTTAAATTAATAACTATAATTAAAATTATTTTATTTACAGCAGCTCCCGTTAGTACTTCACTATCATTCGAGTTCCAGTAACTAAAGCTTGTACAGTAATTTTTTTTTATAGCTTATTTATTGAAAAATAGTACAATCTGTCTCAAGTACATTTATAATAGTGTTCACAGATCAAATTCACACTCTATGTACAATAAATAAAAGAAACTATACCGAAAAATAATACATATACAATAAATAAGAATAAACTAAACTAAAAATAAATTAATGAAAAGAACATATACATACCTATGTACAATATTTACAATCTGGCAAGAGAACTCTAAACCAGACTTCTCCCTCCAAAAACTACCACTTCCACTTCCACTTACAAAAACTACCTACCATCAAATCACCTGGATATGACCTCCTTACATCACAGATCCTCAGACAACTCTCTCCTAAAGCTGTCATATTCCTTACATACATATACAATGGCATCCTACGAACCACCCACTTTCCTCTTTTATGGAAACATTCTACTATTATCCTATTCCCAAAATCAGGCAAACCTCCCAGCAGCTTAACTGCCTACAGACCCATTAGCCTACTTCCAATCCTTTCAAAAATCCTTGAAAAGAATCATACCCTTTATAGAATATCAAAATCTTCCTTCACATCAGTTCGGATTCCGTTCCCAACACTCGACAGTCCAACAAGTACTTCGAGTGGTCGATCATATTTCCGCAGCTCTGGAAAGCAAGCAATATTGCTCGGGTGCATTTCTGGACATAGCTCAAGCTTTTGACCATGTATGGCACGCCGGGCTTCTTTTCTAACTTAAAACCCATCTTCCTCAGTACTTAAACCTTGTCCTCCGTTCCTACCTCTCAGATCGTACCTTCCGAGTTCGCTGCGGTACTGAATTTTCGAATTACTATTCAATTGAGGCAGATGTTCCTCAAGGCGTATTGGGTCCCGTCCTATTTACCGCCGATATCCTTGTCCATCCCAATAACTTCCTGGCAACTTTTGCTGATGACACCGCCATTCTATCATCCGACTCAGATCCTGATATAGCATCCTTAAACCTTCGAAGACACCTCTCCCTGATTGAGCACTGGTGTAATAAATGGCGTATTAAAGTAAACGAATCCAAATGCCAACACATCACCTTCACGCTCCGACGCAGTTCCTGTCCACCAGTACACTTTAATTCCATCGAGCTTCCTTTCTCAGACACAGTCCGGTACCTTGGCTTTCTCTTAGACAGACGACTAACGTGGAACCCTTATACTAAACTTAAAATACAGGAACTTAACCGACTATACGGCCAACTATACCAACTACTAAACAGAAAACCTAAACTTTCTATTGAAAACAAGTTACTTATCTACAAGATAATACTGAAACCTATTTGGACTTACGGACTTGAACTGTGGGGAACAGCAAAATTTTCTATCATCAAACGCATCCAATCCTTCCAATCTAAAGTCTAAATCTAAATTGGAAACCACGTATTACAAAATTGTTGTTCAGTAGACCAAAAACTCTTCAAGATAAAGTATTTGATGGTTAATGATGTATACATGTATCTAACTTTAAGGAAATCCATGAATAGCCCAGATATAGTTATTGAGTTTGTTAAGCTGTGTGTTTCACGATTAATTCGTGAACGTATAATTTTTTTTTCTTAGCCCCGTTTTTATTTATCTTTGTCTTGTATTCTTGGATTTTCGTTGTCTTCATAATAGTCCTTTTACTGCTAAAAAGCATTGTAAGGTGTATTTTGGAATCCCTTTCCAATATACTTAAAGCCCTTATTACCACGAAGAGGAGACTTGGAAGGTTTCTTTTCTTAATTTTTCAATTATATCTTTGTGATATGCGTCATAACGATTTATTTGGGGGGAGGAAAGAGATTTTATTTACATTTCTCAGTTCTACTTTTTCCAGATTTTAAATTTCGTAAACGTATTACATTTCAAAATAATATTTCATCAAATTGAGACAGGAATTAGGTAAGGTTAAAACAAATCTCTCTGTATTTACTGTTAAGTGGGAGAAAACACTCGAATGATTAAGAACATCCTTATTAGTTCCTAAAATAAGAAAGGTCATTTGCACCTGCTAAAGTAACTTTAGATATTTTTACTTTTACGTATATGAATTTTACTAAGAGAAAGCGAGGCAATGGACAAAACTTGAAAAATTGGCGGATTTCGAAGTTAGCTAGATTTCGACAACGGATTGATGTAAAATGTGGGACTTAGTAAAGACACTTTGAATGAATTGACTCACCTGGTTTGTTATTCTTCAGTTGTGAGGCATATAGGACAACTAAATAAAATTACTTTTCACTCCTGTATAGTAAAACAATTTATTTTTACAACTGTAATGTATAAAAGTCTTATAACTATAGGCTTGATATTCTTAGTCTTCAATGTATTAAGCCTCTCTTCCCAGATGACGTCTTCTCGTCTTCGTGCCCAGGCCTCAAGTAAGTTTTCCTCTCTTCTGACAACCTCCTTTCTACCTGTCCCGGCCTACAATGCCCTCTCTCTCTCTCTAGCGTTCTTCTCCAGCTGTTGCTACCTGCTCTGTCCTTTTTCCGGCGTCTTTCTTCATCGATTGTTTATCGATATGAGACTTTTCACTGAATAATTTGCCCACTGCACAATTGAGTACAATTCACTGTGCAACCTCACATTCCTATATATTCCTTCTCATTCTCTAACAAAATGTCACATAAAGGAGTAAATACTAGGGGGATGTCTACCACAGCATATGTGAGATAGACTAGATTGGGTTGTCTTTACAGATTCTGGTAGACTTCATAAAAGTTCTAATTCGTTAATTTGAGAGGGTTTTGCCTTGAGTATTGAACAAACTGCCATGGAAGGTGTCTAATTAAGCGCGTATATAAATTATTTGTGCTATATATAAATATATATAAATAAATTGGTGCTGCCCAATTACATTGGGTTGCTAACAACACAGCATACTTGTTTATCACTACAGACATTATTTAAAATTATTATACAATTATATAGGATTAACAATATGTATGAGCATAGTATACAATATTTTATATATATATATATATATATATATATATATATATATATTATATATATATATATTAGTATTTTTTTTCTCCTTTTTTTATAATTTTTACTATTTCTTTCATTCATTTATCATCATTCTGTACCCTTTCTCTTCCTTCTCTCCCCCTATACATGTTCCCA